CCTCCTCCTCCTCCTCCTCCTCCTCCTCCTCCTCCCCCTCCTCGCCCTTCCCTCCTCGGGTCGCCTACGGCCCTGGGGGAAACCGTCCAAGCTGATGTTTGACCTTAAGCATGACATAGCTAGGTCCCGCATGAACGGGATGCTAGATTTGCTTCGCCTTGTTCGGGCTCAAGGGGGCCTGAAGCTGTCAGAAGACGAGTGGTCCTGCGGAAAGCCCTAGGGTCCCGACTTTTTTAGCAGGATTCCTTTCCTTCATGCCCAGTTCAGATCCGACCTCCCTCACTGGTAGGTTTTGCTGCTGTCCCAGATGCCGACCCTGGGAGGTCTGGAAAGGGTCAAACAAAGGCCTGGAAAGGGTCAAAACCGCCCAGAGGCCCATGCGGAAACGCCCCAAGACTTCCCTCCCGGTTCCCCGACGGTCGATGGCAGAATTCAGCCTGTCGCACCTCCTCGCCCACTGCCTCCCCTGGGGTCGAACATCACGTGCGCATGCGGTCCCAGCTGCCCCGAGGCACATCATGGGCTTCTCCAGGAAGAACTCGGTGACGCTGAAGCCGAGCTGGTGCTTCGGAGAGCGTGGGCCTCTGTACATCGTGGCGTGCGCGGTGAACAAGAGCACCTACGAGAACGGCTTTGTGATGGCTGAGGGGCAGGCGATCGCTCCGCCGCCCTTCAACGACCGCTGCATCGCCGTCTCTGGCAGGTGCGGCTACGCGTGCATGGAGCAGCAGAGCCCGGCCCTCGAGCATTGTGACCCCTCGGGCAGCATCTTCAGCGAGGACCTCCTCGGGCTCGAGGCCTTCGAGCCGCCGACCAATGAGGGCGCAGTGGTCGGCCTGTTCGTGTGGACCCTGCTGCTGGGATTCGCCGTCAAGATCCTCACGTACACCCCCGGCCTCTTCATGCCTTACAAGCACGCCATGCACTACACCCCGAACCAGACGGCCAAGCTCAAGTACATCGCGGTCTGCGTGCCCAGCGGCGCCGAGACCAAGGCCTGCGTGCTCCGCAACATCGTGGGGGCCCTCTCCGGGCTCCCCTCCGGCTGCCAGTGCCCCTTCCACGTCGTCTTCGCGGACGAGGGGCACCGGCACCCCCAGAAGGTCATGTTCCGCGCGCTGAACCGCGTGCTGGACGCGGTGCCGGCCGCGACCCTGACCGTCAGCAGGGTGCCGACGGCGCGCAGCGTGACCGGCACGAGGAGCGGCGCGAACAGCCCCAGGACTCCCAGGACGAAGAGCTACCGGCCGACGTCCAGCCGCGCGGTCAAGGAGGAGAACCTGAAGCTCTTCCTGAAGCACTGGACCGAGAAGACGAGGGCCTTCCAGCTCGCGACGTGCAACACCGAGAAGATGGCCAAGAGGATCAAGAAGCTCAGGGAGGACCTGCTGGCCGGAGGCGGGGCCGCAGACGGTGCCAGGGACAAGGACCTGTTGAGGAGATCGGGGCCAGCTGTAGATGGCAAAGGCTCAGTGGGGGATGCATCGACCCCCAATCGCCCATTCATCGCCAAGAAGGGCCCGATAGCCCCGCCCCGCCTGTGAGCGTTCGGATTCGGTATCGGGGGCCCATCGCCGATCTATCGGCGATGCATCGCCGATTCTGGCCCGATGCTCAGCCCCCTGAGCTGGTCCCTCCGTACAGTTTGCCCTCAGGAGAGACGAGGCCTCGAAGAAAGAGATCAAGTCGCTCGAGGACATGCTCGACTCCCTCTGCGGGACGAGCGCCCTCAGGCTCCTTCAGTCGAGGTACGGTTGGCCGGCGGCGGACTCGGAGGAGGGCCGCGAGATCCGCGAGCTCGAGGAGGCGATCCAGTGCCTGAGGGCCGAGCTCACAGTCGGCGAGAAGCAGGTGGCCGGCGCGGACGGGTCCGCGGACCAGGTGCCGGCCTGCGAGGACGATTACGAGGACCACAGCTGGCTACCATCCTCCACCGGCGCCAGCGGGGCGTCGGACGAGGAGGCCGCGAGGGCGAGGGCACCCCTCTACACGATGCACTACGTCGCCCGCGCGAAGCCCGACGAAGACGAGAGGTCAGCGGAGGGAACTGCACCGCTACTGCTACGTAGCCTTCCCTCGTCGCCGCGGGCGGGTTCGCCTCGGAGGCCTGGTCGGCGCGCACTCCAGCAGAGGTGGTAGCGCTCTGTCCCCCCAAAAGAGGACCCTCAAAGTCCAGCACGTGGCCAGGGGCGGCTGGTACTACAAGGTGCCCTTCGACGAGGCGAAGAGGCAGAAGAAGAGCTGGCTGGAGTGGCGCCGCAACATCTACGAGTTCCAGGACGGGGACTACGACGTCAACAAGGTATTGGTCCCAGTCCGTACGAGCCGAGGAAAGGCTGGCGGTTTGAACTTTGTGGAGAATTATCTTGATGCGCTGCCGTGCATATCCGCCACCGCGTTGTGCAGGAAGTACTGGGAAAGGCGTTTGGGGAGCGTGGTGGGGAGGGGCTGCGGGGGAGATGCCGCGGACCCCCCCGCTACAGGTTTTATTTTGTCACCCTGTTTTTTTTCGGGGCGGGCGAAGGACTAGACTGGGAGCAACAACTCGACGCATGGTGGCCTCGATGCGTCCGGGCGCCATGGATCATGCTTCGCATGGGCCAGCTGACAAAAAACGGGCTCGACACACGCACACCTACACTTAATTCGGGCCTCTCCCTCTGCAGGAGGAATATTCAAAAATAGTTAAAAAATAGGCAGGGGACAATTTTTCTAGTACTTTTGAGCATGTTTTGAATATTTTTGACAATTTGACATTTTTCGCCCGAAATCCCCTGTAGGGGGACAGGCCCGACCTAAACCTACACACCAGCCGCGGAACAAAGCGGTAGCGGATTTATTCCAATACCACCTTCGTGAATCGATGCAGGTTGGCAGTTTGGACCCAGTGCGCTTCAAGCCATCCTTGTTCAGCATCGCCGACGCCAGGCACCAGTTCCAGCCAGACTTCTTCCACGTGACAATCCCTTTCTTCTTTGTCAAGGGCAGCGACGAGGTTCGAAGAAGCAAGACGTCATAACAGAAACTTTCGGAGGTCCGCGCGGATTTCTTTGATTGACGCTTGGCCCGCGCGCTCCGCTCGCCAGGGAAGGGGGCTCAGCGCCGATCCAGTAAATCTGCGCGGAGCTCCGAGAGTTTACGCTTATGCCGTTTTTTCTACCTCTTAGAGGTGAACTCCAGGGTTGCGTTCACGCAGTGCCCGCAATATTTCCCAGAGATGCCCGACGACGTCGACTACCTGGACACCAACAACTCCAACTTCTTCCGCCTGAACTGCATGCTACGGAACTGCTGCGGCGGGGTCAGCTCCTGCGGTACCAACGGCACGTGGCTGATCCGCGACCGGCGCGCAGGTGTGAAGGGCAGCGACAGCATATGGGAGTTGGACAGCCAGAAGAGGATTCGGTGAGATCGAACTGACGGCAAGATCCGTACAAAGACCGACAGCAGTTCCTGCTCACTTTGACCAGGAATCGCGGTCGGTGACGCCGCGGACACTGTCCATTTGAGACAAAACGACGCCTGCCCAACAGCGGCCGCTGTCGGATTTTGACAACATGTGCTGTTGGGCATTGTACCCATTTTTTCCGTACCAATTTCAGACGTGCCAAAGGATGCGAGCTGGTTTCACGCAGATGTTCGAGCACCGTTTCTTCCATGAGAGCTGCAAGGTGGAGGATACTGCCAGCAGCCTGGACAGGGTGGTGAAGGGAAAGTACTCCCAGTACATCAACCGAAAGCTCTCTTACGGAATGGCGAAGGACCCTGTCGATTATTTGGCTGCGATTCAGCGCTGGGCGGAGGGTGGCGTGGTACTTTCTCTGCAGACGTTCCTCAGCTGCAAGGAGGGCATCCACATGATATGGGCGACCTTTTTCGGCTTCTTATTATCACTAGGGTGTCACCCTTTTCCGCCAGCCCTCCACAAATATACAACGCGTGGGTTGCGATGATGTGTAACCAAGTGCGGGCAGTTTTGAAGGCTATCGTGGGTCTTCTTGGGCCACCTAAGTGTTGTTTCCATGTTGGACACTATCCGGCATCCTGTGGCAATATTGTGGCGATTTTGAGGGGATGTTGGTAGGGGCCTCTAAGGGTCACTTTCGGGCCATCTTGGGACCATCTTGGGCCCTCGTGGGGGGCATCTTGGCGTAATCCTGAAGCCTCCTTAGACTTTCTTAGGCGATCTTGGGGGCAACGTGGCGCCACTGTGGGCTGCCTTGGGGCAATCTCGGGCAGTATTGGGGACGTCGTGATGAGGGCCATATTGGGACAATATTGTTGCCTCTTGACAGCACATGAGAATGCAGACCAGAAGCGTTGAACAAGGGTATGTTCCAATGCTTCTGGTTCTCGGCATTCGATGTTGTACGCTGTATGGAAAAATCTTGAAGGCCATGCGGGGAGTTTGAGAGGTCATCTTGTGCGATGTTGGGAAATAGCTGGCACTTCGGGAAGCATCTTTCAACGATCTCGGAGCCATGCCGTGCCGCCGTTGGCCAGCGAACGGGGATGACGGCGATTTTACAGATGAGGTCGGTTCTCGGAGACAGCCGGAGGCTCAGGGGACATGGTCAGATTGTGCTGGATGTCCTCTTCTGGGGAGGCCTAGTCGAGCCTGGGGAAATGATAGAAAGTTTCCCTAAGTAGCTTGACGCGGACCTTGGGGGGTTCACGCGCTCACTGACAGAATATCATGTGTGGAACAGCTTGCAGTAACTGCGAAATCACGCTGACCAGCTTGCAGGCAACATCATACCGACACGTACACAAATCACTTGATAGAAAGACTAGTTTCCGCAGCCTGGTGGGTTACCCTTCCGTGGACCAGCGTCCGATTGGCTCCCCCTTCTCGATCGGTCCTTATCTCCCTTTCTCGTCTAGTCTTTCTTGGCTGGCAGGTTTCTACTTGAGCTGCCCCACAGTGATTCTGGTCGCGCTCGCAGGATCATCTTCCCTCCCGTCTGGTCTCGGGCCCGCCCACTGCATTCTGACAGTGCGGCCGCGGCTTGCATCTCTAGCGCTCTGCCACAACAGGAACGAAAAAAGCGAGCGCAGCCAGGTGGCCCCGCCGAGGGGCCCCGGGCGGATTCATCGCCTCCCTCGGCAACATGCTCTACGGCAACGGCTCGCGAGGCCTGATCTACCACCTTAGCCAGGCAGCGTTCGGAGACCAGAGCCTGCTCGAAACCGCGGAGAGCGTGGCCATGAGCCAGGCCGACCTGTGCATCGACCTGAGGCTCACGACCGACGAGTACCGCGCCGCGTATGCAGAGATCTTCTTGGAGGTCGAGGCGTGGGTGGTCACGGTGCTCCTCGGCGTGGCGCTGGTGCTGGTGGTCACGGCCATGTCGAACGCGATTCACCATTTCACCTGCTGTGGGCGAAGGAGGAAGTTCCGGCGCACGCGATTTCCAACGTCTCCGTCACAGTGGGCGCGCTTGATGATCACGATGGACAACCTGACATATTCAAGACGCTTCGCGTTCACCGCCCGCCGATTCCAGTCCTCGCTGGAAGAGACGCAGACGGCGCCGAGACTGGATGACAATCTTCAGAAAATAATGAAATACTTCCCCACATGTTTTTTATTATATTTCTGCGCTCCATTTCCCCTCCATCCCATCGCAGGTTTGGCTCAGGTGTGCCGTGCTGCTGATCGATGTTGAATTCGTCGATGATTCGTCGGCCCGTCATCATTACCAACGCATCAGTGGTATGGTCGCTTGCTCTTTGGAACACGTGGTCAGTATAGACAGCAGAAGGCCAGAGATAGCCGGAACGCTGCCCGAGACCAGCCATTGACGGCCCAGAGGCGGCCCGAAAGGCGCCCACGAGGGTTGATTGTTCATGTTTGTAGGCAGAGTTGGGCTTAGGAGGTGCTCTTGAGGGCCTGGGGAGCAAATTCTGGAGGCCAAGAGCGGGCCACAGAGGAGTGGAAATGGAGCCAAATTGCGCCCTGAGCGTACTGGGAACGGTCTGAAATTATTGACGCTTCGCGTATCCCTAACGAGTGCGTCCTACTCCCAGTGTGGACACGCTCCACAGGATTATCGACAAGCACAGGCCGAACGGCGATGCGACCAGTGCGTTGCGTGCAACCCTGAACCACCATGCTGTTCTTGTGCACGGACCCCCTGGAACTGGCAAGACCACCTTCTCAGTTGCCTGCCTGGACATGTGGGGTCCCTGCCTACGCCCTGGACACGCTGTCGCTTTGGCAGCAGGGTCCAACACGGCGGTCGACCAACCAGCTCTGGCAATGATCGGGGCGCAACGTCAGCGACGCCTCGACCACGACACGGGCTTCCCCGACAAGTTCGTGCGCCTGGCAAGGAAGGACCGAGTCAACGAGGCACTTGTTGACCTTACTCCCGAGGGTCACTACAAAAACGCCCACGGCGACTTCCCCTTCCAGGACGGGGACAAGAGCCAGGGCTTCAAGCCCTACAAGGCGAGCTTGCTACGTCAGGCCAGGATAATCATGTCCACGCACGAGGCGTCAGAGGCACTTGGTCAAAAGGACAGCCCACAAATCGTCCTCCTAGTCATCGACGAGGCCGGACAAGCCACTGAGCTGCACGCGCTCATGTCCATGGTTAATCTGATTAACAGCGGAGGGACCTTGGTCCCCGTCGGAGACCCCAACCAGCTGCCCCCCACAGTGCTCTCCAAACTGGCGAACGAACTAGGGCTCTGCGTCAGCATCTTCGACAGGATGTTCCACGCACTCCGCGGCCAGGAGTCTTCAGTAGTCCACCTTTCAGTCTGCTATCGGATGCATCCGCAGCTACTTGCGTTCCCGAACGCAGCCTACTACGGGAAAGGCATGAAGTCTGGCATCCTGGACCCGCTCAGAGAGCGGCCAATAGTTGAGGGCATCCCCTGGAGAGACATTCGCGCGTGGGAACCTGGACGACTGGCAAAGCTGGCTTTTCTCACCGGTTTCGACGAAAGTGACCTCCGCGCCACCCTTGAGCCCCTGGACCCGCCGCTGGGCCCAGACAAGCACCGTTTCCGAATGGTGCACACACCCTCCTGGGAGGTCACCTCCGAGCTACAACCAGGCTTTGTCAATCTTCCGGAGGCGGCCCAAGCCGTGGATATTGTGCGCGCCCTGCTACCGGAGCTCCGCAAGGGCACCGCTGTCAGAATCGTGGTCGGCTACCAGCTCCAGACGGCCATTCTCATGGACGGATGGCCGCAGGGTCCTCGTCACCTCACCGGCGTTCTGCGCAACACCAGAGGTGGCGCCAAAGGGCAGCCCGGCAAGGGGAAAGACGGTCCTGGACGCGGTGGTCAGGATACTCCTGGCCCTGGACATCTCCCCCAAGGCCACAGGGTGGACGCTCACCGCTGGCAAAATGTGTTCCGGGAAGACGACAATGCTAACACTGCCATCAGCTCTAACTTCCCTGGACTACGTCAGGTGGCGGGCGAGCACATGAGCACTGGGGCTCTCGAACTCACGACAATCGACTCCAGCCAGGGAGGCGAGGCGGACATCGTAATAGTGTTAACTACCCAGAGCAACGGCAGCTACAACTGGGGTTTCGTCGACGACGCCAAGCGCCTTAACGTGGCAATCACCAGGGCCAAGCGGAATATCCTGATCTTGGGAGACGGGCGCATGTTCGCCAACGCCACATGGTCGCAGCTTCGCGTGCTCTCGGAGTACGGGAGACTGACTCGCCTCTGGGTCCACTTTCGTGGCAGCTCCCCCGTGGGCCGCAGGCTCTCCCTGGACATTGACAACAGGTTCGACCCACTCCAGGAGCTCGCCGCATGGATCTCCTCGCCCCCTGCATGGGGCAGCGTCGCAAAGGGGGAGAAAGGACAGAACGAGCTGGACGTCGCCAAGAAGAAAGCGCGCGATGCCCAGGCCACCTGCTTCGCCGAACGGTTCAATGCACCCCTGGAAGAGAACTACGACTGGGACACCCTGGGCAAGCTAATCTCGGGAGGGCTTCACGATATCCTCTCGACACCGGCCTTCCACGTGCTCATCTACCTCATGTCCGGGTTGCGTCCCCACGACTTCACGTTGGCCAACGCACCGCGGCAGCCGGGCATGCTCGACCGCAAGGCTTGGTCGCACCTGGGGTTCTTGTTTGACATGTCTCTCGGGCTCGACGCGACCAATCTAGTCTACAACACGCTATGGGCAGCAATGGTCTGGTTGCTCGGCCTAGGCGCCCCCTGGAGGGATGCGGACTACGCCATTCCCGACGACTCCCTTCCCCCGTTGCCTCACGCCAGCGGCAGGCGTGCAACGCTGTGGAAGCGCCGCCAGTGTACTCCCAAAGGACTCTTCCGTCAGGCCCCCAAGGCTTGGAGCTCCGCTACCAAGGACTGCTGCAGACACCGGAAGCAGCCTGGAATGACCGGGTTGGGAGACATCATCAGGGGGCGCGGCTCCTCGATGGAAGATTTCCGTCAGGGACTCGTAGACACTGACGGCCAGCCCATGGATTCCTGCAAGGCCCGCTCGCTTCTGGTGGTCATGATGCTGATGCTCCGTGAGCCGCGAGTGTTTCTATAGCCTTTCTCTCGCGCGGAGCAGGCCGGGGACGTCATCGAAGCCATTCTAGGGTTCTGCGTACCCTGGCAAGAGGTCCACCAGGACTTCCGAAAAAGGTTCGCCAGTACCTGGGGCCTCACCCTGGAAGACTTGGCCGACCTGCACAGTCGCATCGAGGCAGTCCTACCACGCATCTCCAAGCTCGTGGCTTTGGCCCATCACCACCCGGCTGCGCAGGAAGCCGGCTGCCCGCAGACCTGGGGCGAGATGGACAGACAGGACTTCCAGCTGCACGCCCCGATGATCGTTCTCGAGCGGATCGTCCCGGCAGCAACCCTGACCTGCCTGGACGCAGGCGACTGCTCAGTGTGTGCACTACACGTCGCACTGGCTGGTTCCGACGCCTCCCTTGGCCCCGACGACAGGGTTGCGGGCCTTTCCTACATCGGCGGCGGACTTGCCTTGTCCCAGACCGACCTCAACGCCCCTCCACCACCGGCACCGGCCCCGGGCACCAGACTGGACCCTCCGTTCATCCCCGACGAAAGGCTCGCGCTCGAAAAGAAAAACAAATACGCGTGCGACAGTTGCGGGAAGGACTACCTGACTGCCGCTGATGGCACCTGGATCTCCGACAGCACGCGCCAGATGGTCGCTCAGAATAGACCTCAGGAGTGCATCAAAGGCGCCAACATGGGCTGGTACTGCGCTGGCTGCTGGATACGGCACCTCGAGGACAATGGCTTCCCTACGCCTGCCGGAACGAAGCTCGCCGACAAAATCAGGGAAAATGAGTTGCAGATATCGGGGACCTGCAACGACAGAGCGAGTGTCCTCCCTTCCCTGGGACTCCTTCCGCTCGGCTACGGCTGCAGCCCCCTGGCGGACACGAGGCAGTTAGATGACCTCCTCATGGAACCGACGGGCATGAAGTTCCCCGAGTATGCCAATACCACCATTCCGGTCCTCCGGGTCCGGGACGACCGCTTCGGCATCAAAGCCGCTCAAACGCGGACCTACTCCGCGCGGTGCGACACCTGCCCCCAGGGGGCCCCGCTCCTGGTCTGGGACCCTGGCTCTCCGCCGCTGGGGTGCTTCATATGGAAGCCGGCTGAAGACATAGGAGTTCCCGAGCAACATGGACTGCCCCCCATCGATAGTTCTCAGAGGCCTTTTGTGATAGCTGCTGACTGGAACGATGGGCCCTCGGGGGTCCAGAAGATGCCTGTCTTGGGAAAACTTAGAGCCGTGGCAGTCAATTCGGGGAAGCCAACATGTCGAGTAGGCAAGGCGTGGCGTGAACTTGACTACGTTGTCGTATTGCGCGATCTTGTCGGGGAAGTTCGGGCTTGCGTCAGGCGAGAAGATTCCAGCAACAGGACTCATTATCCAGTTTCACTTAAACTAGGTACGATGGCACATCAGAGGACTCAGAAGGTGCTGAAGGTGCCGAAGCCTTTTCCGCTAGATAAGCCCACAGGTCCAACGCCTCCGCCACTGGACTGGACCCATGTCGAGGGCAAGTTTGAACGGCTGCGACGACAGCCATCGTGTGCAGAGTTATCTGTGCTCTATGGGGAGATGTGTGACACCATGGAGCGGGAGCTGTGCGACGTGCTAGGCATCGAGGCTGCTGAGCGTGTGAAGTACTGCGGTCGGGGTTCTAAGTTCCAGGTGGTCGAGAGGCCTGGTGGGGGCGCCAATGGAACGCTACTTGGTGCTGCCGGCGCTGTCTGGTCCCGATTTGGAACATTGGCCCGGCCACCCTGGGCCGCATCCTGGATCGCGACTTCAAGCCGCTGTATCCAGATGAATCTCCGGCCCTTCCCCCGCTCAGCAGCCAGATTGGGTTCGAGGCACCTGTGGACATCGTGGATTCCCTCCCGTGGCTTGGCGAGGACGCCAAAGCCCAGGACCAATTCGCCAAGGTCGGAGCAAGCAATCCCCCTGGACC